AGGAAAGACTCTTAAACAAAAACATTTAAATGTTAATTTTATTTTTTTGTTTGATTTTGTCTATTTAAGCTTTCTTTCTATTTAAGCTCTGGTAGGCATTCAGTTTTCTCCATCACTCCTCCAAGGTCTGGTCACTTCTCACTCGCTCTCTCCTTTTTCTCCCTCCATCTCTGTCAGGAGCTAGCTGCATCCATCGTTTTATGTATTTTCCTATCTCCACATCAGGAACTTCAGAATGGCTGCGACGCACAGCACTTTTGTAAATATCAGAAAGAGAAAATAGAACACTTATTGAAATACTCCCTGAAATATGACTCATAGTTTATGCAACTCCCAACATTATATATCAGGGGTGGGCAACTTTGATGTTTGTGGGGGCCTCATGTACCTTACATGTAACACTTACGATCACACACTGGCTGCTGCTGTTGTTGAATGTTTGGCTCAATCCTTGTTGGCCTTTCAGAATTCCCAGGTGTCTCTCTTCTGTCCTCTGGAGGTCTGATAACTGGTGCAGTTGGCAAATCCTTAGAGGTGTTTGACTGGCCCTTGCGTGGAAACTTTTCCTTTGGCTCCTCATCCTCACTTTCAGTGGTACTGAATATTTGCGTATTTGTGCCCCTGATGTTAAAAATATAAGGTTATTGAACTCATAAGAATGACCAGTGAAGTAAACATATGTTGGATATTTAGGCCATCCACTGAGAAATATTTGTTAATAGTTGTTATACCTTCCTTTTCTCTTCATATACGTGGGGCGGTCATCCTCCTCCTCAGTCTGAAGATCAGATTGGACCACAGCCATAGGAAGCTTACAGCGAGCCTCTTCATATGTGTCTGTAAGTGAATGTTAATGTATTGTGTTTAGATTGCAGATATATATTGTTGTCTCAGGAGGTTGATGTCAGTTATAAATAGTTGACTGCAAATATAACATTACCTCACCTCTAGTGTACCTGATGTTAACATCAAACAAACCCCATGTTTCGTCAGGTGCTTCTTGACGTTTCACTGCCCTTGTGCAGCGTTCTGTGGATGTATAAGGGGGGCAGTAGCTCATGCCATCCTGGACCCATGATGAAGGCACAACTTCGGTCTCCTTCTTCTTGTTATTCCATATTCAAGAGCCCAATTCACCAAGTAGCCTTTGAAACGGTCCGTTGGACTTTCAACCTCATTGTCAACCATCTCCTCGACATCATCACCCTCATCACCAATGTTCTCGTCAGCATCATCAACCTCACCCTGACCTCCACCTTCTCCTACACCTGCAGTGTCCATCAAAGCCTCCACAAACAGTTCATCCTCAAAGTCCTGACCAATGAACAACATTTCCTCAGCTGCCTCATTGGACATATAAAATGTCTGAGGAACAGCAGCATTTTCAACATTAAGTGTAGACTGCTCTTGTTGGATAGATGTCAGAAATCTTGACATGTGTGCAGTACACCTTCGCCGGATGTTTGAAGTCACACTATACTCTGAATACTTCTCAGTCATTTCTGACAAATGCTGACATTGAGGGCCGGAGCTCTAAAACACACATTGATTAACTGAATTACTAAAGGGCATATATAGCGAATTGCATTAATTCTTAGGAACCTTAATCACCTTTGTTGGCTGAATAGCTACTGCTGGAATTAGCTGGCAGGCTAGAGAGACAGAGCAGATATTTCTAGGTGTCAAAGTGACTGCATTAACATTCAAAAACTTGGGTCATTTTCAGGGAACACTCACCTTGATTAATCAGAAGAGGTTGGTTAGCAGTTTGCTGTAAGTTAACATCACAGACAACACAATCTGATTGCTGATTATGAAACTTGCCTCGAAACATGTAAGAAATCCCTTAACGTTTGTCGTTTTGTGTGTTGATATCCTACTCAGTCCTATAAATTAACGTTAGGCTACTGCAATCTGCCTTTTCACACTGGTAACTTAAGCGGCAGTAAAATAACTTTTTAACATACGTTTCTGCAGGCTTTCCAGTATGAAAATGTATGCACTCACTAACTGTAGGTCGCTCTGGATAAGAGCGTCTGCTAAATGACTAAAATGTAAACAAATGTATTATTACAAAACTTATCCAGTTACTTAATGTCCAAATTGGATAAGAAATATGATTTACTGTTGAAGTTTAACGTTATATTGTAAACACAATCACAGAAACACATAACGTGAACTTACTCTGATATCCCAATCATTTTACCAGACCATTTAGCAAATGATACCACAAACAAAATATCATAAATAGATTACCTTTAACATTAGAACTGTCACAAAATAACAATAATTAGCTGGCTAGCTATTTTGTTTCCATCTTAACAAAAGGGGTCTACCTTCCTTCTTGATGGTCGAGCTCTAGTGACAGTTTATGACAGTTGGAATAGCAAGCGCCTCATTAACTTGTGCACTGGTAGACAGGAAGTAGATCTGCTCGAGTGCAGGTAGTGGTCCACCGTGGATGTTTAAACTCAACGAGTAGCCATACTGAATACGGCCGCACAAAATGACTTTCAAAGCTGAAATCTAAATTTAGTTTGTCTTCCATATCAATTCTATTTGAGCTATCATTTTAGGAAAAATTAATTAAATAATGAAATGTTAATTATATAAAGCAGCCCGTGTAATCATCTGCCAGAGAGTTGCCACAATCGGCAAGTAATACATTTGGTCCAGATAACTCACACCGGAATCAACCCGAGCTCAATCCCTGCATCCTAGCCATAAGTAATACCGCCAAAGGCGGGCCAGACTCGGGCCACATGATGTCTGCCGAGTTTGACTCTCAGCCAAGTGCCCCTACTCTCAGCCAGAATCGGCCCAGATCCACTGTGCTAGCTGGGATGTCCCCCCCAACACATTCTGAAATTGTGTTTTTGTCCCGGTAGGGTAGGCTGTTTGGAGTGTTTATTATAATGATGTCCCCCTCACTTCTAAAACCAAAGTTGCTCCACTGGCACTGGTGGATAGTCAGATTAATATGATAGTTCGATTAAAACGTTTAGATGCTTTCCCTAATAATCCTGTTTGCATGGACACATTTGAAATTAGGCTACCTGATGACACTCTGATAAATGCAGAAAATCGCCAATCAAAATAAACGTCCTACCACAGCGACCATGTTATTTTTGGGAAGTATATTTTTTATTCCGAGTTCGGACATAGAAGTAGTTTTCGCATACAAACGTTATAAGACGCTTACATTCAGTTGTTCTGAACTCACTTCACTCGCGCTAAAGAGGGAGGCTCGCTCAGTTGATGCTAGCACATGTGCAGATCAAATACATTGCTGGAACGCATGTCCTAAAATTCGAAAGCTTGATCAACCAGGCAAGGTAATGCTTACTTCAATTTAGATTTTACCCCAATTAAGATAAACAAAGCATGGTGTTTACATTACTATTGAATAAAATGGCTACTGCCAAAATCAGTTTAATGTCTCAGTACATACACACTAATAATTCGATATTAATCTAATTATGGCAGAAGGCCAGTACGGCATTAGTCATCTGATTATGGCAGAAGGCCGAGTATGGCATTAGTCATGTACATGACGAAGGCCATAATCAGTTTAATATGTAATTATTAGTGGGTATGTACTGATACTGCAGTTCATGTCTAAGAGTTTATCAATATGCCTACATACGTTTCAGATCATAATGCTGCGTTCATAACCAAGTGGGAAGGTGGTAATTATCAGTTGTGAAGTCGTAAATATCAGTTGGATGCATTAATGTGCTTTAAACTGATTCTATATTTTTCTCTCTGTATTGTTGGGAAGGGCCCATAACTAAGCATTTCACTGTTAGTCTACACCTGTTATTTACAAAGCATGTGACAAATAAAATAAAATATGTGATTAATTTCCTTAGAAGGTGATGTCAGAGGTCAACATAATAATATAATATGCCATTTAGCAGACGCTTTTATCCAAAGCGACTTACAGTCATGCGTGCATACATTTTTTTTGTGTATGTGTATAACATGTGGGAGAAGTTGTGGTGCTTTCAAGATAACCTGGAACTCGAGTTCTAGAAAGATGCCCAAGTTTCTGACTTGGAATTCTGAGTTGGATGACCGTTCAAAACGATTTTCCCAGTTGTCCAGAACGCACTGAAGTCAGACTTTTCCAAGTTCCCAGTTGTTTTGAGCGTGGCAACTCGGAACCTCAGAGTTACATTTTGCATATGTTTTTTTGCGTAGAACTTCCTTTTGCGTATAACTTCCTATTTGTTTCCAAGTGGGAAACTCGGACCTCATCTTTCTACAACGAGGTTCCAAGTCAGAAATCTCAGAGTTTCCGACTTCCGAGTTGTCTTGAATGCAGCATCAAGGATGATAGATGAATTTCCCACTAGTAATTACCAGTTGGAGGGGCATTTAAATGGATTTTTCACAGTTGTATGTGGTAAATACCACCTTCCCACTTGGTTATGAACACAGCATATAATTTTGTCTGTGATGCTGCGTTAATAGGAAACTCAGATGTGCTAGTCGGAAATAGGAAACTCAGACATTTCCGACTTGGAAACTCATTGTAGAAAGATTTACATTACATTTACATTTTAGTCATTTAGCAGACGCTCTTATCCAGAGCGACTTACAGTTAGTGAGTGCATACATTATTATTTTTCATACCCCCGTGGTAATCGAACCCACAACCCATGCGCCATGCTCTACCAACTGAGCTACATCCCTGCCGGCCATTCCCTCCCCTGCCCTGGACGATGCTGTGTCAATTGTGCGCCGCCACATGGGTCTCCCGGTCGCGGCCGGCTACGACAGAGCCTGGATACGAACCAGGATCTCTAGTGGCACAGCTAGATGATACAGAATCAACCAATAGGAACCTCAAAGCAAATAACTAGGTTTATTGTAACTCGGAGGTTCCGAGTTTCCGATAGCCCGTGAACTCGGCATCATGCGTTTACGATTTTTCATTATGCGCAGTTGCTGCACACTTTCCAAGCTTTCTGTCTAGAAATGCGCATGTGCAGTACAGTTCTGGGTGGACTTCTTTGAACACTCAAGTGCACTAGCCATCACTGCATCCTCGGCAAGAACCCAACACAGACGAAACATGAGCTTCACAGTCGAAGAGAGGGGAAACCCCAATACATTGAGCTATCGTTTGTTTTTCAGTAAGTATGGTTAACTTAATGGAAATATAGCTTAAGCTAGTTTAGTTACTAGCTAGCTATAATACGGTCCATTGTGGATTTCCCGGCTTACTAGTGGGATCGGGTCCCACCTCCCACGTGTCACTTTTATTCATTCATTTCGCGTTGGTTTTATACTCCTAATGTCAAGTTCAAGTGTAGATTTCACACGTATTGGCACCTAAGGATCGTTTAGTATATGCATGTATCAGCGCTTTGACCTTTGCTCCCCATTTGAGTTGAGGAGACAGATACAGTAGCTAGCAATTGAATGTTTCTGGACATGAATTAGACTTACCGGTATCAGGATCCAATTCAGCTGTGTTAGATTTATTCTGTCATAGTGGTATTTCTGATATTAGTTAGCAAGTATTGTTGGGATACCACACCAGCAACCTCGATAAATAATATTTTAGCTACTGTACGTGTGGGTTACGCCCAGTTTCAGTTTCTAAGATCAAGACTAGGCTTCAAGACCTGTCAAACAAGTTTCTCATGTAACTAGTGTTATCCTGAATGTATCTTTGTTCAAATGTGATGTAGCAGTCTTTCATATTTGTTGCATACAGTGCAGCCTTTGTGATTGCGCACTTAATTACCATTACAAACGGTTGGAACTACTGTGTCCGAAATGGCACAATATCCACTATCCATTAGGGATCGGCATGAGTACTTGAGTACTCAAACGGACGTCAAAGCTTGACCTTTAACCAAAGATTTAAAAAAAGAATCCAATACTGTAAAACTATTTAGTGGAATGTGCTTTGTGGCTGCCCAAACGGGTGACATTTTGTCTTCCATTTGTGTATTGGCGGGGCACAACAAAAAAGAAACCATGCCAAGCATTGTCCCTTTTAGCTCAGTTGGTAGAGCATGGCGTTTGCAATGCCAGGGATGTGGGTTCGTTTCCCACGGGGGACCAGTATGGGGAGAGAAAATGTATGCACTCACTAACTGTAAGTCGCTCTGGATAAGAGCGTCTGTTTAAATGACTAAAATGTAAATGTAAAAAAATTGTTAATTGCATCATGAATATCATGTGTAAGTGGTTGATTACAGACATTTACCCACACACTAAAGTTAAAGGTCACTCATGTTCTCCCATTCTCATTATGTATGTTGTCTGTTCTCTGTAGAAAATGCTGATGGAAAGTATGTCTCCCCATTCCATGACATACCTATGTATGCTGATGAGAGCCAGGTAAAGTATGTCACCTTTATCCTGCTACAACGCTCCATTACATAACACACACACACTGAATGGAGATGGGATATCTATTCAACTGCTTCTTTATAGAAAGATACCCACTTAGTCTAACGTTTGAATCCATGGTTAAAGCTGCAATATTTAACTTTTTGGGTGACCTGATCAAATGCACATAGAAATGTGAGTTGTAGATATGTAATTCTCATTGAAAGTAAGTCTAAGAAGCGGTAGATATTGTAACGACCCTGGGTTTATAAGCGCGGATATCGACTCTGCCACGCGAGCATGCTTTTGGGGCACAGTCGATGGCTCGCTGGACTTCGGGCTAGAAGGTTGAGGGTTCGAGACCTGCTCCCTGCCTGTTTCATTACCATATGGTTTTATGTGCTCTATTTCTATGCTTCTCATTATTAAGTTTCATTTTTACTTTCGGTTTTGGTACAGGAGCTCAAGCAAACATATTAAAGAAAGGAGGAGATAGGAATCCCATTGGGCAATGAATGAAAGACGTATAACGCCCCGCCCATCAGACTGTTGACTAATCGCGTTCGTTGTTATGCAGCGTCGCGCGTTGAGAAACCTGCCTATTTTCCTCGAAAGTGCGTAATGTCACGATTCCAACGCTATACGATATTACAGATAACAAGTTAATTATCTCACATCTCGGAAAACATTTGTAATGTTGTACTTCTTGTTGACGAAATTCATGTTAAACTTGTGTTTTGAGCTAGCGCCCAATTGACTCACATTCACTCCTTGGAGGAGAGCGCGCTTTTTCCCAGAATCACCCAGAATGCACCGCGTGGTCCTTTGACGACGCATTGGCAACGTACACAATGGGGGTTCATACGATTCCAATGGTGTTTCCCATCTCCTCAAAAGTATGTCTGGCTCAAGTATGGGTAGCTGCAGCCCAATATGGCGACCGGAGTATAAACAAGTGGGTGAGTCTAAAGGAGTAGGTGTATGGAAAGCAAATCAGCTAACACGGGGCACAGTGCCCTTCGCTCCCGCATCTTTCACAGCAAAGAAAGACCGAGCTAGAGATGGGAGGGGCACAACCAGGCATAGATAGGTAGGCATGTCGGCCACCAGGCAGACCGTCAGAACCGTGCATCGGTATTCAAAATATGTAGGCTATAGGCTATCGCAATGCTGTATTTAGCAATTTCTTGGATTGCAATGTCTTGCGCAAGTTCACTAAAGTAGGGTCTATCAAAGAGTATGCAGAGCAATTCTACACGTAACAGACCGAAGATCAAACACGTTTTTCATAGTGAAGAGAAAGGGGAGCATGCGAGGGAGAGTGAGGATAGGGGCAGGCAGGGAGACGATCAGTGGCGCAGTGGTCAAAGGCACTGCATCGCATCGCAGTGCTAGCTGTGCCACTAGAGATCCTGGTTCGAATCCAGGTTCTGTCGTAGCCGGCCGCGACTGGGAGACCCATGGGGCGGCGCACAATTGGCCCAGCGTCGTCCAGGGTAGGGGAGGGAATGGCCGGCAGGGATATAGCTCAGTTGGTAGAGCATGGCGTTTGCAACGCCAGGGTTGTGGGGTTCGATTCCCACAGGGGGCCAGTATGAAAAAAATAATGATGTATGCACTCACTAACTGTAAGTCACTCTGGATAAGAGCGTCTGCTAAATGACTAAAAATGTAAAAAATGTAAATCAGAACTGTGCCTATGGGCTATACCAGTGGTTCCTAACCTTTTTTGGTTACTTTACCACCAACTGAATTTTGCTCTGCCGGAGTACCCCTTAAGTACCCCCTCGTGCATTTTACCAGTAGGCCTATGGTCTCATGAGTCTTCTCAAGTACCCCCTGTGGATAGGCCAAGTACCCCCAGGGCAGGGGTCCTAGGACCCCTGGTTGGGAACCACTGGGCTATACTGTATCTTGGTCATCTGTATCTAGCAATGCCACGTAAATTCACCAAAAGTATATATTAGGCTATCAATGAGTATGGCTAAGCCATTCTTCATAGTGCCAGTGAATTGAAGTTAAACATCGCCAAATGCATCAGTTTAATGAGGCCTAAATGTGCAATAACAGTATTGCCTATAACTTATTTAATGAAACCCTGGCTGGCTGTTGATGTCCTAGGTCAGGGCTCTCCAACCCTGTTCCTGGAGAGCTACCTTCCTGTAGGTTTTCGCTCCAACCCCAGTTGTAACTAACCTGATTCAGCTTATCAACCATCTAATTATTGAATCAGATGCGCTAGATTAGGGTTGGAGTGTGAACCTACAGGATGGTAGCTCTCCACAAACAGGGTTAGAGAGCCCTGTCCTAGGCAATAGATTGCAAAGCAGCATCCCCGCTGAACTTTTTGGAAATGGCAAGTTCACTTTGTCATCCATAAACAGTCAAGTGCAAATACGGTTCAGCAGCTCAAATCAGCAGGATGTGGGGGGGCATTGTTATTAGGAAGGACGTCTACCATGGATGGATCGCTAAAATAATGAATATGATCACACTTCATCAATTTCAATATTATGGGGAGACCTATACCAAGTAGCCAAGCACGAGTTGTCAGTGTAGCCTATTATCATCCAGACATGACGTTGAAATATCTTCACAACTACAATAAAAACTTCCAGGCTTCCGTCATAAGAGAATTCAATTTGAAGAAAAAAATGAATTACAGGGGGCAGTTTGGAAAAACGGATCCTGTGTGAATCGTCCTCTGGAATAACGCATATGCTTGGATAATAATTACAAAACCAACGTCTCTAGTAATACCCGTCCGAATAGGGCTATAACATGGCAAAGAATACGTTTTCAGCGTAGAGTGCGCCACATCATCCCATGGGATATCGCTGAAATAGTATTTCTATATTCAAACAAAATAGGCCTTTTTATAGGCAAATGGACAGCATCATGCTCATGTCAGTCCTCTAGAACGCAAATGTAGTCTTCCTAGTAGGACCGCAATAATGAGATGGTGTTTGTGTGTGCGCATCCGTTTCAGCGTGTTTTGGGATTCGAGCAAGAGTCTACTCCTACGACTCTACCTACAGGAGTCGGAGTCGAGCAGGAGTCGACTCCTTTCGACTCTAATCACAGGAGTCGGAGTCGGAGCCAACTCCAAAAATCCTGAAGAGGTGCACCACAAAAACAAAAACTAAATCAAAACCCCTATTTTCCTTTCGACACACCCATTCGCCCATACTCCGGTCGCCATATTGGGATGCAGCTACCCCCTTCTCCACCAGCTTCAACCAGCTGAATATACAATGAAAATATATTTCACAGCAGTTTAGATGGTACAATGATTCTCTACACTATCGCTTGTCTTGTCACATAGGCCGCCTAATTTCAGTTTATTCGAATTTTAGCAACCAGGAAATGGTAGAGTGATTTCTGCGTATTGCCCCTTTAAAGATGTAATTGAGTTGTTGTATCTCCATAACATTCTTGGTCGGAATTGTTTGTAATGTATTCATTTTTGCTCCCTATGCGTGTGGGAGAGTAGGAGTAGCGCCAGCAAGGTCATAGTCTGTTTGTAAAAGCAATGGTCTTTACCACTTCAACACTGAACTCTTTAATCATTGGGCAGTAACTCTGGATGACCTATTGTCTTATCTCTCTGGAGTAATATAGCAGCCTTTCCTTTCCTCCAACATATCCATAGGCATAAATAAATTATTCCTGGGTATATTAATATTATGATATGTGACAAACAGGGACACAAGTACGAAAATGTATGCACTCACTACTGTAAGTCGCTCTGGATAAGAGCTTCTGCTTGATGACTAAAAAGTAACTGTAACAACAACAGAAAATCTAGGAACTTTGGAAAGTAAAAATGTCCATGGTTGTTATGCTCAGTTTGTGTACACATTTTACATTTACATTTGAGTCATTTAGCAGATGCTCTTATCCAGAGCGACTAACAGTTAGCTAGGTGGGACAACCACATATCATAGTCATAGTAAGTACATTTTTTCCCCTCCAATAAAGTAGCTATCGGCAAAGTCAGAGCTAGTAAGGGGGAAAAAAGTCAAGTGTGAGTGTTAGTTCAGAAAATGTTTTTCTTGTTGGGGGGGCTGAGGATTATTTAAGATGCTCTTCGAAGAGGTAGGGTTTCAGATGTTTTCGGAACATGGGCAGGGACTCTGCTGTCGTAGCTTCAGGGGGAAGCTGGTTCCACCATTGGGGTGCCAGGACAGAGAAGAGCTTGGCCTGGGCTAAGCGGGAGCTGCCCTTCCATAGAGGTGGGAGGGCCAAGAGACCCGAGGTGGCAGAACGGAGTGCTCAGGTTGGGGTGTAGTGTTTGAGCATAGCCTGAAGGGAGGGAGGGGCAGTTCCTCTTACTGCTCCGTAGGCAAGTAACATGGTCTTGTATTGGGTGCAAGCTTCGATTGGAAGCCATTGGAGTGTGCGGAGGAGCGGGGTGACATGGGAGAACTTGGGAGGATGGAACAACAAGCAGGCTGCAGGGTTCTGGATAAGTTGCAGCGGTTTGATGGCACAAGTGGGGAGCTCAGCCAACAGCGAACAAGCACACATTTGTTTACTACTAGTGAAGTATGACTCATTGCTTTCTTCTCTTTCAGAACATTTTCCACATGGTTGTTGAAGTACCAAGATGGACAAACGCAAAGATGGAGGTAGGTTCACCTTGATTGATTTTATTAGCCAGTTAAAAACAATACATATACACACAGTACATGCATTTTAAAAACCTGTATCCATTTGTCACTTATCAGAACAATTCAAGCATTATTTAGCCAGATAAGTCTGGCTTTTACGATAACTACCTGGGGCCTGTTTCCCGGACACATGCTTTTGAGCATGCTTTTTTTGAAATCCTGGCTAGTCAAGCAAAATAAGACACAAGATAATGTTTGGCTTTTCTACTTTCAGATTGCGACCAAAGACCCCCTGAACCCGATCAAGCAGGATGTGAAGAAGGGGAACCTGCGTTACGTCGCCAATGTTTTCCCCCACAAAGGCTACATCTGGAACTATGGAGCAATACCTCAGGTCAGACAGTCACTAACCTGTCACCAAGCTGCACGTGGTCTGAAATACAGGCCTGTGACTGTACATTTACAAGAGTTCAACATTTACAAGACTTTTGGCATTCCAACATAAGCCTTGTAGTGTGTCACTGTTTCTGCATTCAAACATGTTACAATGCAGACTAACAAGTTTGTAGAAGCAGACCGACGCTATATGTCCAACTCAATTAATTGATCACCTAGAATTTACTTGGCCATGATTGCCTAGTTCTCTGTTGTCATATGAACTAAATATCACAATCTCTTTTGACTGTGATATTTCTCTTTCTCGATAGACTTGGGAGGACCCCGAGCACAAAGATGGAGACACTGACTGCTGTGGTGACAACGACCCCATTGACGTCTGTGAAATCGGTACCAAGGTACAGCACTTGTTCTTTATCCTCTAACTACTATTAAACTTTGGAGCCGTTTTAAGGTCTTGATATTGTTTCTTCCATTCAATCTCTGCCATTCCTACATGCCTAAGGTGTCATTCAAAGCAGCATTTTGTCACCTAAGTAAGGTGTCCAATTTCGAAAAGTATGCCCAACAATTTTGCTGGGTTTGTTACTACATCAGCTGCCTGTACTGATTTTGTGTTGTGAGCTTCATTTATGGTTTATGGTGATGAAATGCACTTTCCTCCGGCATGTGATCTGCTTTTTGACTATCATTGAAATTGACCTATCCCCATATCAATATCTTACTTTTCTATGCTGTACTGATCATACATCTGCCTCCTCTCCAGGTGTGTTCGTGTGGTGAGGTGATCAAGGTGAAGGTACTGGGGGTTTTGGCCATGATCGACGAGGGGGAGACAGACTGGAAGGTCATAGCCATCAACGTGGAGGACCCTGAAGCTAAGGACCTGAACAGTAAGCATTGGAGGAGCTGGATGTGGACTAAACAGAGAAATATCCCTAATATAACAGGCCATTCCTTAATACTGCCCATTAGCCCAGTCACTGCATATAGTAGTACTGGAATATGATTGCTCAAGTGAAGAATGCAGTCATTGAACAATTGTTTTCCCAAGTGTGTGCGTGTGTATTCCTATTGCCACAGTCATCTGCAAGTGAAAAATGCAATGATTCAATGTTTTTCCAAATGTGGGTGTGTGTGGCTGCGTGCATGTGTGAGTCTATTCCTATTGCCACGGTCATCCCCCCTCCTTTTCACTCACCTGTCGCCCTATCCTGTGTATCTCAGACATCGGTGACATCCAGAGGCTGAAGCCAGGTTACTTGAAGGCCACAGTGGACTGGTTCAGGAGGTACAAGGTACCAGACGGGAAACCAGAGAACCATTTTGCCTTCGACGGAGAGTTCAAAGACAAGGTATCCATCTTGTACCCCATACACAGGAGTTTGTGTTCTGTAAACCTTTGGCCCGAGCCAGAATGGCTCATCTCCTCTTTCTGTAGTGTTTGACAAGGTATTGTAGCCTTGAAGTTGCCACAGCCTTGTGTTACAGTAGCTACATCCACCCTCATCAACATACTTTTCATTTTATCTATTTACCTTGTACCACGTCTACCCTCATCTAAAACCGCTTTTTCAATCTAGATACATGGATAGTCGTTTAGCCTGGATGCCAGTCTGTCTGCAATAGCCATGTTAATATGCCAGTGTAGAAATGTTGCATTGTTGAATGCAGAAACAGTCTGGTACCAAGGCTAGATTGCGTTGGCCAAATAGAGGCAAATTCAAGAGTTTGTGTTGTACAAGAACTTACATTTATTTTGCAAGACCCAAAGGGTTGTATTATCCTGTTGCAACATAGTGTGTCCCTGAGGATGCATGAAACCTTTTCACAATATACAGTGTCCATTGAAGTTCAATAGTAACTTGTAAGAAACTTGTTTTAAAGTGATTGGTTCAGCTAAAATACAGAAATACAAAGGGCTGGTTTCACGGACACAGATTAAGACTATCCTGGACTAAAAAGCACTCGCATTTGGGATTCTCCATTGAGTTTGCATTTTCCAGGAGTAGGCTTAATCTGTGTCCGGGAAACCACCCCAAACTGTATGTTTCCTTGCCCTACAACAGCCTTAGCTCTGTGTGTTTCCTTGTCAGGAATTTGCAATTGAGACAATCAAGAGCACCCATGGCTTCTGGAAAGCACTTATCTCTCAGAAGACCAACTCTGGAGGACTCAACTGGTGAGGAGAGCATACACGATTTACAATCCTCGTACAGTACAATACCTAGAAAACTGGCATTTGTTACAGTCCCATCATTTCAATATCATTACTGTAAATTAGATCAGTCTTTAAAGGCCCAATCCGTAATTCCAACATGTAAGCCCCGCCACTTAATTTGTGAAATTAGACCTTACTTCTGAAGAACTACAGCAGCAAGCAAGAACTTGTTTGAATCTGAAATACATTATTAATGAATACATGACTGATGTGACTGTTTTTCTCCAATCCTGCAGTAAAAACACGTGTGTGTCGGCCGGCGACAGCCCCTTCTGCTGCTCCACGGACGAGGCCAAGGCTGTCATAGAAGGGGTCAGTACCTTCTGCTTCTCTATGGCTAGTTTCTAGAACTTCAGGGTCGGGTCAGAGCTCTCCTTTAGAACTTCAGGGTCGGGTCAGACCTGTCTCCTTTATGTGCTGTGCTCTTAACTGCTGGGGTCAGTAGCTATTTCAAGTAAAATAGAGAAGTTCAAAGTGCATTTCAAGGATGAAACTCGCTTCTGTTGATGGGGTAGTACTTCAAATCAAAATGAGCAATTGCAAGGATTGTAACGTTCTACACATACGTACCTCCTCCTACATGCATCTATTGTGGTCAAACATGTTTAGCCTACACATTTATAAATTGCTCAATTGGACCATCCAATTATGTGTATTTATTTATGTTTGTATTTTTTGGGATAATATTTTTTTTAGACAAGCCCTTGTGGAACCGAAGATCCTATCCCCTGCTCAGGTATGTCTCTCAAAATAATTTTTACCTCAAGATTGAGAAACGTGTACTATGAATATACTTTGTTGTATTGAATATCGTGTGAATGTGTTGGACGTGCGCTGACAATGCAATTGTTATTTGTTTTTATGCTGTTAATTCTGCCTATTTGCTTGAACTTATAATAAAAACTGATCTAAATTGATCAACAAAATTTAACTCTCACTGTTCATAATGGTCCTTGATATGATCATATATTTATGGATTGGATCCTGCATTGACTCAGATATTTATTTGACATATTGTAAACCTCCCACTCTTTATGGTCATTTTATGACCAACCTGGAATGATAGGAAAGAACTGCATGGTTGTACACACATTTTATTTTATGACTGTCAATTCCATTGCTATTCAGGAAGTAAGCTAAGATTCCAATAAATTTTTTCGTCAGTGGGGAAAATTGGAATTTCAATTTACTAATGGAATTGACCCAATGGATTCAGGTGGATTCACTTGACTTACTCTGTACACATCTAATCATGTGATTTTTCTATTTCCAGTGGATAAATGGTTCTACTATGAGAAGGCGTAACTTTAAGATGATGACTCAATGGACCAGAAGTGTCTCACCTGTTTAGCAAGCGTACTTGAAGATAATAGACTTAAGGACAGTTGTGGCTGAGAAAGAATAGACTCTTCTTCGTACTCAGAAGATAAGCGACGATGGGACAAAAATAGTTAAATAATGTCTTAGGAAATGTATTGTTACAGTTATTTAACGAAGGTCTCATTGGAGATGTGCTGTCGAACAGATAGTACTGGTAGTGTACTTCCTATAGCTAGCAACTCATGTACTGTGTGGGATCATCTTAATTGTTTTAATAAAGCTTTTTCTGTAAAACAACAATACTATGATGGTTTTGTTGGATAATGTAAAAAAAAAAATTTATAACAACCTTCAATATTTTATTTGGTCTGACATTATTTTGTAGAAAGTTATACTCTGTTACCCAGCTGACATGTAGATGAGGGCTGATATGGTTACACTTTGCTAGAACAGTCGGAACACTGTACTGTGGAAAACGCACGTTTGTATGTTGTGTTCTTCTGCCATCTAGTGGTAATGTTCTATACCACAGCGCGCTTCCTAATTATGTCATTCTCTGCATAGCTGTGCGTGCTACAATAAATTGTATGTGTATTTTTAGGTTTTAAAAATATATAAACTTTGTTTTGATGTGAGATTCTGAGTTCATTGTCTCAAAATAAAATGACATAAAGATATGGGATCAGAATTTAACGTGACGCCTGTCCCAATAGCAGTTGTTACGCAGTTCCGGTAAACTGTCAAGATATTTTTGGACCGGTCATCCACGGGAAAAAAGCCTGGACCAAAAGTAACCGGACGGAGTGTTAAGAGTCACGGACATAAGGTAAATGATCAAATGTTTATCATCAGTTCCATGAAAATCAACCTTATACACTTGTTTATCAGAAAATCATGCCCCTATGTTTTGAGTTTGATCAATTGGAGTGGGTTGTTTTGCGACCTATTCTGCCTCGGCTTGTCTGTTGTTTACAGTAATGTTTATTCCAGCAACGCTGATGTTGCAAGTTTAGTCACCTGCTTCCAGACAGGATTTCTATATGGTGTCAACAACAGTAGGCCTATAGCTATGATACGATGTAACTCTTGCCAGTTCCATTGTAACAATTTCACAGCTGCAATGTCTAGTGTATATCTATAGTCAATTACCAATCTTACTCAAAAACCTTGAGTTTTATCATAGCCGGGCAGCTATAGGTAAACTCTAGAATTAGTTTTTGCATTCCTTAATGTCACTGTCATGATGTTCACAGCAAGTTAGTAGACACTGTCAAGAAAGTGACAGATGGGGGTGTGTGTGTGTGTGTGTGTCAGTCATGGCTGCCCCGGAGGTATCAAATGTCATTGTTGCCACAATTTGTTCTTCCTAGACTTTTTATGGACAGTCTGACTGCTATGATCAGTTAGCCAGCTCCCTGTTAGTGTGAATGGGATACAGTTGCCTACCTGCATTATATATTCAAAAGTATGTGGACACCCCTTCAAATTAGTGGATTAGGCTATTTCAGCCACACCCGTTGCTGACAGGTGTATAAATCGAGCACACAGCCATGCAATCTCCATAAACAAACATTGGCAGTAGAATGGCCTTACTGAAGAGCTCAGGGACTTTCAACGTGGCACCGTCATAGGATGCCACCTTTCCAACAAAAGTTCATCAAATGTTCTGCTCTGCTAGAGCTGCCCGGGTCAACTGTAAGTGCTGTTATTGTGAGGTGGAAACGTATAGGAGCAACAACGGCTCAGCCACAAAGTGGTAAGCCACACAAGCTCACAGAACGGGACCACCGAGTGCTGAAGTACGTAGCGCGTAAAAACCGTCAGTCCTCGGTTGCAACACTCACTACCGAGTTCCAAACTGCCTCTGGACACAAGACCTGTTTGTCGGGAACTTCATGAAATGGGTTTCCATGGCCGAGCAGCCGCACACAAGCCTAAGATCACCATGCACAATGCAGAGACTGTCAACGAATACAGCAAAGAGATGCTGTTTTTATTAGTGAGTTCATGTTTAAGTTCTTACTCAGCACTGTCAACACTTTTATAAGCCATAAAATGTGTGTTCTTCCTATTTCCACTCAGCGCTACAACAAGCACTGCAGCAGCAATGAGTGAGTAGAAAAGTGTATCTATAGGCTTGCGTTGTTATTATTTGCGGCTTGGGTCTTTTTTTAAATGTTTATTATATTTCACTTTCTCTGTTCATAGGAGTAACAACATGAATTTGTGCATGAGGCAGAAATAATGCGGTACAACTTCAGTTTCGCCATTAGCTGGAAGATGGTGTCCCTTTTTGGTCAGTGTCAGTGGAGGGATGTTGAGAGACCCTCAGTCTCCCACTCTCTCCCCCTCCGCTGAGACTGACCATCTGAGATGCAGGCACCATCAGCCCAGAAAAATAAAAAGCAAATTATTGAAATGTATGCATATGTGGCGGAGTCTAGGGAAATTGCTTTTGCTGTTCTGTTCAGTGACTTTCCAAGCGTCACGGTCAGAGAGAGAGAGAGAGATACACAGAGAGATACACGTCGGACTATCGTTGTAGAAAGAGGACGTGCAAGTTCTGGAAGAGGATTGTTCCATACCACCGAATGACTGTCATTTTCGCCAGAGTGATGCTAGCTACCCACGGGAGTGATGGACATCAAATAATTGTTACCGACACCAGAGGAGAGCCGTGAGTTTAAGTTATTTAGTTATAAAAGATTCCCGTGGAAGTAATTGAACTTTCTGTTTATGACCTGAAAGAAGAGGACATCTAATGTTGTGGACTTTTCAGTTGTTTGACATTACATAGTAGTGCAAGGATAAGAAGGGACACTGTTAATAGTGAACATTTAGGCATAATTAGCCATTCAAATGAGAATATTATTACCGTGACAACGTTGCAGGCTACTTCTATTATTTTAGTCCCTGCCAGCCCATAATACACAGTAATGGGTGTCATTCTTTATTTTTGTTTGTTTGTTATTGGGATATCTGATATAAATGCTGTAAGACTGCTAGACTGTATTGCTATGTTTTTATTGGTTGTCTTCAAGCTAGGCTACACGTGCACGTGAGGTAGGTTACAGTAGGTTATTCTGTGAACTGTGACATTGTGCCTGTTGTGTTGCCGAAAACTGACAATATATTTTCATTATTTTAAAACAGAACTGTCTTCATTACTACTGCCTGGGGGTAGGGGGCCTAACCTGTTTTAGGTATTGGGATGTATTGCAGGTGGATACTCCATGCTGTAGCTCAGCTGGTAGAGCACGGCGCTTGTAACGCCAAGGTAGTGGGTTCGAACCCCGGGACCACATATACAAAAAAAAAATGTATGCACGCATGACTGTAAGTCGCTTTGGATAAAAGCGTCTGCTAAATGGCATATTATTATTATTATTATTAACCACATCATCATATTATATATTATATTATATATTATTATATTATATATATATATTATTACATCATCAGAGGGGCTGCATACAGTGAGTTATTTGTAACTTTTCACCCTATACTATTAGGAGAGGTGCCACTACTACTAAGTACTGTGGTGAGGTTAAATGTGTTGGACCACAGAGACACAGCTCTGTTTGTTGCTCAACCTCCCAAGGCTGATCTGAGAAAAACCCTACAAAAACAGGTATTTCCTACCTGTTACACTCACTCAGTAATACAACAACGGATCTATTACCGGTGTGATCATATAGCCTACCTCAAATGTTGAAGTATAATTTAAAAGATGGCGAGAACAACGATGCATTGGCAGGGCAATTAAAGCAAAGCCAATCTGCGGTGCTAATGTATTGGGCCGATAGCTTACAGCACAAACCTAATTGCTACAGTACTGTTTTTAATTTTTTTAATTGGTTAATGTTGCATCGGCTTACGTTTTTTAAGTCATGTTAAGGCTTGCATTTTGACTCAGTGATCTTGACTTAGAAAAGGTTGGTGACCACTGTTCTAGAGTTTTCACTGTTAACACTATCAACGTTTCCCTTTACCGTGGCAATTGTGATAGAATCAACGCAATATTAGCCACTTTCAATGCAACATACCGAAACAAAACGAACTATGCAAGAGATTTTGTTGTAGGCAGAACACATCGGAGTAGGATTCTATTGAATCGCACTACTCAGCCAGCCCGTACTCTACACAGACTGTGTTTACAGCATAAGCGGTCTTGAGTAGATGCGCTTGTTTTGAGATCAAAGCGAGAGCTGCATGTAGCCACGTCTGCACATTTTGTTCATATCCTTTGCTAGTTAGTGATATATTAGCCCAGTTACATTTGTAGTCAGCAGTAGGGCCGTGATTGCTTCCTACAAGAGCACAAAACGTATACATTTCTAGACCTCTTTGAAAAGCTAGTCAGGTAAAGAGCTTTTTTTCTTTTCTTAAAGGGGCAGTGTTGTATTTTCAGACAGGCTTGAATAAGCTAAGTAAATAGGCAGAGGGTAACATAATTTGTCTGATTCTCTGTAATAATGGTATGGGAATAATAATGCATTTTATTTTGTAAAGTGATTTCTTGCATCAAACAACACAACATTTTCAGTCACCTCCTTGTCTGAAGGACAAGTGGATAAACAGGTTAATCAAGCCCTGAATGTTTTTTTCTTTTTCTTCAAAATATGGTATGTAGGCCTCAATTGAACACCACACATTGGCTGCTACTGTAGGCTGAATGATAGAACAGCTATTTCCATGTTAAAATGTTATGGGATGCATTTTCGCCATTGTTTTTGATGTTAGGCCACTCTGGTAGGCCTACATTATGATCAAATAGCCACAGTAGCCTACATGGCCACTTAAAACTAACTTAAAGTGGGTACAGCCTCAGTGTTCACAGTAAACGCACGCTGGAAGTTGCACAGAATTTTCACAATGTTCAAGTTTGCGCTCAGCACACCTGAAATCTGCTCAGTGCCCCAAAAATTAGAGGGAACATTGATTGTAATACCCATGAAACCTAGCGGTCAAACGGGGAAATGGTTCCAATCCTTTTTCCACCATTCATTTTTCCCATAGGGGATTTTAGAAACACGTAAAATAAGGGCTGTGTTTCGTGTAGGCTTACCCTGGCATAACGTTTTGATAACTGTGCAAATCTCTCTAGGACAGGGTGACTTAACAATATGTTCACCTGTATTTGCCCCCCAAAAATGAAATGCTAATGTGGCTATCATAAAAAACTACAAATGCCATGAAGATCTGGATGAGCCTGCCAAATCGAGGCAAAGGTAAGAATCTCAGGATTAACTATCTAATGTTAGCTAAATGTAGTAATTAATAAATTGGCTACATTGCTTTTAAATGGACAATTCTGTGAACTGTCTTGTGCAAGTTTTAAATTGACAAAGGTGTCAGCTAGAGATGACGTGTCAGCTAGAGATGATATGTAGGAGCTTGCAGGGATTTGTAGTCTTGCATGATGTCTACTTTGATGCTAGTTAGCATTTTAGAATCTGAGTAAATAGAGCCGAATATATTGACAAAAGTCACCTTGTTCGAGAGAGATTTACATGGTTTTCAAAAACGTCACGCTAGGGTAAACCTACACGAAACACAGGCCTTATTTTAAGTGTTTCTAAAATTCCCTATGGGATAAATGAGTGGTGGAAAAACGATTGGAACCATGTCCTTGTTTGACCGCTAGGTTTTATGGGTATTATGACACCTCCACTGTGGGGCTCTATTGGAGGTTATATAGGTGTGACTAGGTCTATTGCGCTGTGTGATTTAGCTACAAAATATAATTTTATAATGTGGCTATATATTTCAATTGGCTATTTCTGTATTTTTATTTAATGTTTCATTGACAAACAAATTGTATCACCTCTAACAATTTGTTAGAGGTTTTGTTATTACACTGAACAAAAATATAAACGCAACATGCAACAATTTCAAAGATTTTACGGAGTTACAGTTCAGGAAATCAGTCAATTGAAATAAATTCATTAGGCCCTAATCTATGGATTTCACATGACTGGGAATACAGATACGCATCTGTTGGTCCCAGACACCTTAAAAAAAGAGTTTTGCCGTGGATCAGAAAACCAGTCAGTATCTGGTGTGACCACCATTTACCTCATGCAGTGCAACACATCTCCTTCGCATAGAGTTGATCAGGCTGTTGATTGTGGGCTGTGGAATGTTGTCCCACACCTCTTCAATGGCTGTGCGAAGTTGCTGGATATTGGCGGGAACTGGAACACGCTGTCGTACACGGCGATCCAGAGCATCCGAAACATGCTCAATGGGTGACATGTCTGGTGAGTATGCAGGTCATGGAAGAACTGGGACATTTAAAGCTTCCAGGAATTGTGTAGAGATCCTTGAGACATTGGGCCGTGCATTATCATGCTGAAACATGTGATGGTGGCAGATGAATGGCACGACAATGGGCCTCCAGGATCTCGTCACTGTATCTCTGTGCATTCAAATTGCCATCGATAAAATGCAATTGTGTTCGTTGTCTGTAGTTTATGCCTGCCCATAGCATAACCCCACCGCCACCATGGGGCACTCTGTTCACAACGTTAACATCAGCAAACCACTTGCCCACACAAAGCCATACACTCTGTCTGCCATCTGCCCGGTACAGTTGAAACCCGGGATGAATCCGTGAAGAGCACACTTCTCCAGCGTGCCAGTGGCCATTGAAGGTTAGCATTTGCCCACTGAAGTCTGTTATGACGCCGAATTGCAGTCAGGTCAAGACCCTGGTGAGGAAGACAAGCACGCAGATGAGCATCCCTGAGACGGTTTCTGAAATTCTTCAGTTGTGCAAACCCACAGTTTCATCAGCTGTCTGGGTGGCTGGTCTCAGACGATCCCGCAGGTGAAGAAGCCAGATGTGGAAGTCCTGGGCTGGTGTGGTTAAATGTGGTCTGAGGTTGTGAGGCCGATTTGGACGTACTGCCAAATTCTCTAAAACGATGTTGGAGGCGGCTTATGGTAGAGAAATTAACATTGAATTATCTGGCAACAGCTCTGGCAGTCAGCATGCCAATTGCACGCCCCCTCAAAACTTGAGACATCTGTGGCATTGTGTTGTGTGACAACTGCACATTTTAAAGTGTCCTTTTATTGTCCCCAGCACAAGGTGTACCTGTGTAAGGATCATGGTGTTTAATCAGCTTCTTGATATGCCACACCTGTCAGGTGGATGGATTATCTTGGCAAAGGAGAAATGTTCACTAACAGGGATGTAAACACATTTGTGCACAACATTTGAGAGAAATAAGCTTTTTGTGCATATGGAAAATGTCTGCGATCTTTTATTTTAGCTCATGAAACATGGGGCCAGCACTTTACTTGCTCTTGCACAAATAAAATGTGAAGTATATGGGTATAGAAATGGGTAGAGCCAGAAGCATTGTGTAGAGGCAATGTGTCTAATAACTTTATCTTGCGTGGCAGAGTTGTAGTTGGCCCTTGTCTGTCATCTAATGAATGAAGCTGAGTATAGTTAAGAGTTGAGTACCATCAGAATGTTCGTTTACACTGTAAGTGACTGTGTGTGTTTGTTATTTAACCGTTCTGTTTCAGGTGAAGATAACAGACATGTCGTTTATATTTAACTGGATCTACAGAAGCCTCAGTGGTGTGCTGCAGTTACTAGGTACAGTGCATTTAAGCAATAAGGCCCGAGGGGGTGTGGTATATGGCCAATAGACCATGGCTAAGGCTGTTCTTACGCATGTCGCAACGCGGAGTGCTTGGATACAACCCTTCGCCGTGGTATATATCACAAAGCCCCGAGGTGCCTTATTGCTATTATAAACTGGTTACCAATGTAATTAGAGCAGTAAAAATAAATGTTTTGTCATACCCATGGTATATGGTCTGATATACCACAGCTGTCAGCCAATCAGCATTCAGGGCTCAAACCACCCAGTTTATAATAACATTTAAACCATTCAATCATTAAAACTAACTACTGAAGAAAGACTAATTACTTACTGTCACTCATGCTCTACCAATAACTGTTTTCTTTCTCAGGCACATGCCTAACCTAATCATAATAAGGTCAAATCAGGTATTCAATCCCATGTCATATTTTCAGCATCATATTTTCCTACATTACATTTGATGATAAATACACAGTCTCTTCGCTTGTATCTCCCTCCAGGTTTGTATAAGAAGTCTGGGAAGCTGGTGTTCCTTGGTTTGGACAATGCTGGGAAAACAACACTACTGCACATGCTCAGAGATGACCGACTGGGACAGCATGTGCCAACACTACATCCCAGTAAGGCGAAGGAGGTTCAGACACCTTGCTTACTTACCTATGGCTGTCCATCATTGTCTTTTAAGTGTTCTCATTGAATGACCCTTGTCTGGTGTTCCTAAAGTAGTCTATTTGTCTGCCTCTGTCCCACAGCATCAGAAGAGTTGACCATTGCTGGGATGACATTCACAACGTTTGATCTTGGTGGTCACACACAAGGTACACATTAGAACTCAAACTTGTACACATGGTAGTTTCTTTTATGGTTAAGTCTTGAAACCTTCAGGTGATACTAAGGCTTAAGTGGCAGTGACAAGTCACTTGTGAACAATTAAACTGCTTTGATTTTCACTCACAGCCAGAAGAATCTGGAAGAACTACCTCCCAGCTATAAACGGTATAGTCTACCTGGTGGATTGTGCAGACCATGAGAGACTACAAGAAGCCAAAATTGAACTGGATGTAAGCCCCCCCCCCAACACAATTATACAAAGAAAATAAATAGTAGTAGTAAATAAGCAGCATACAGTATCTTACACCCAGTAGTTATTGTATGGCTAAATGCTAATCAATACACCATTGCTTTTCACTGATGAGCAGGGCATTAATCCTTAAGAGTCTATTGACGCACCTGTGCATCAATCTAATGAACATAATACAAAAATCCCCATCAAAATCCGTCAGTTTAAAGCTGCAATATGTAACTTTTTGGGCGACCCCAAAAAATGTCACATAGAAAAGTGAGTTATAGACCTGTCACTCATTGAAAGCAAGTCTAAGAAGCGGTAGACCTGTTCTTTGTGCGCTATTTCTATGCTTCCCGTTTTTTAAGTTTCGCTTTTGTGTCTTTTACTTTCAGTTTTGTACACCAGCGTCAAACAGCCAGAAAAAAAATATCTTTGGTTATGGAAAATATATTTTACAGCGGTTTAAATGGTACAATGATTCTCTACACTATACTTGTTTGTTTTGTCACAAACTGAAATTAGGCGAACTATTACAATTTTAGCAACCAGGAAATGTCGGAGCGATTTCTGCATAGTGCATCTTTAAGCTTGAGATATCTGTTTTTTTGCATGGGCTGCGTCTCAATCCACCGCATCCGCCTACAGTATGTTGCCCTTCCGCATCTGCGGTGGAATGTGGCAGCGCTACAGAGCTATTTGCCAGACCAGAAGACATCCCGAAAATCGGTCTTCTCACGAAAACGTCTGTAGCGTCCGAAAGGTTTGGCCTACTTACTAATACGACCACTCTATGGAAAGATGAGACTCTCACGACCCCCACAAGTGTCACGGAACTAGTCTGAAGGTAACGATACAAATTAATGGAGTTAGTTTTGTGGCAACAAAAATAAGGGGTTAAATATGTGTCCAAAACAACAAATATTCCTGAGCTTTCTTATATCTCCTAGATATAGGACAGACAGCTTATTATCCTTGTTATTTATTTTTTGACTGTCTTTTTTGCCATTTATGAATGTGTTATTCGGTGTATTTCTAAGGGCAATAGTAGTAATGGCCAAATTAAATATTTTATCAAATCTTTTTTTTTATACCTGAAGAGGTCCTAAAATTCCAACTCAAATAGCTAAATGATCCATGGTATGACCATCTTAAAACAATGCCATATGTTACCTTTGTAGAACCCCCCCACCCCCCCAAAGGCTTAGACTTTTAGAGGTTTTACTGGTCCTCTACATTCTCTCCAGGCGCTGTTAACAGACGAGACCATCTCCAACGTGCCTGTACTTATCCTCGGGAATAAGATTGACCGTCCAGAAGCAATCGGTGAAGACGCACTCAGAGGGATGTTCGGACTCATTGGACACACTACCGGAAAGGTGAGGAGGAGAGGGGCTTACTGTTGAAAGCACATCACATAATTTACCCTCTAGAGCAGCAGCCTCCAGAGCAACTGACATCAGATAGTACCATCATACTAGGAAGTAAGGAAGAAAAAGAAACAAAAGTCCTTATGTTGGAAAAAAACAGAATTATGTTGTCACATTTTGTTTATTTTGCAAGCACACAATCAACACTATTTTACATACGTTTTTTAAATAGGTTTTTGAAGGACCATAGAGTTAAGTCTGCTTTGTGTTTTCCTTGTTGCCAGGGGAATCTGGTATCATAGTATTGCAATACTGGTATCATGAGAACACTACTACAGAGCTAGGCAGTTGGGTCTAGTATTGACAATGACTAGATGTGAATGACAAATGACTGATTTGGAGTACAGTTAGGATCCACTTCATTATGGTAGTTTATTATGGTAACTCTGTAGTCTCACATTGACTCCAGTGCAAAGGAAAAGGTTGGAATGGAGGGTAATCTTTACTTGTCTCTTCTGCCTGTGTCTCTCCCCAGGGTAATGTGTCACTGAAGGAGCTGAACCTGAGGCCCATGGAGATCTTCATGTGCAGTGTTCTGAAGAGGCAGGGATACGGAGACGGTTTCCGCTGGCTCTCACAGTACATTGACTGATCAATCCATCACTATTTCTCTTACCTGATTCACACTATAGAGCCAACCATACCTTACTGGGTGGGATAGATAATTTCATTTGAAATGGTCCTTTCCAGCATGGTTCCAGCAACTATGATGGATGTGTAACCAGTTCAGGTCAGCCAAGAGGACATGCCTCACAAATCTACCTGCTGTAAAAGCTATTAACTGCTAGCGTGCTATATTTATTGTAATTTTTACGTTTGAGAGAGTGTGCCTTCAATAAGTAAATATATTTCTAAGAAAAATATATTTTTATTGATACAGTATTTATACTCTTGTGTTTTGGACATATGTTTTTGGGTTCAAACAGTGTTGAAATATGCAGGGTTAGTGATTGTTTGATAACCCTCAAACAGTATAATCTATTAATAATTGGTACACCATTTTATAGTCTGAGGCCTATGTAGTGAATTCAAACTTCAAGACCTGCAAACCTGATATTGTGTAGTTTACACATTGCTTAGTTTTCAATAATTATCTGTTACTTTATGAAAGTACTGTGGTGGTGTGCATTTTGAATGATTCCTCATGATGTCAGTCAAACAGTTTTATTATTATTACAGTACTATTTCCCCTCCCAATTATTAAGAAGTTACAGGGTAGGACATGCCATTGCTTTGAACCAGTTCGTAACCCTGTTTATTTTTAAGTCGCTGGCATTGGATTACAGAGGAGGGGTTATCGGTGTAACAGTTCCGCATTTATGTATTTTCGCCATTGCTGCTCTCTCCTTCCACGTACTACATACCAGGCCTGGGTGCACATACTATTAGAAATGTTTTACATACTTTGAGCATTTACTTTAGCCTGCCTGGATTGCCAGGTTTGTACTTCTGCGACTTTTTGTTGGTTTTATTGCAACAGGCAAGCTCAATCAACATTTATTCTAAGCATTTTTCTTTTCAAATGCATATTATAAAAGGAAAGCAATGGTGCCCTAAACATACAGTATTTTAGTGTACAAAGCAAAACACGGAATCTATGCAGATGATGTTTTATTACATGGCTATTGTAGTAGAATTCTCCTTCCTTCAAGAATAATAGTCTCACTCATAGATAGCCTATTATTCTGTTCTATATGTAATTCTATGGTCTCACCCCTCAATATAGCAGCACTCCTCAAGACATGCTATTTCAGGTTATTTGTGCATTAGAAATACAGTTACATACCAGACAGGTTTTTACCAACGATGACAAAGTTCTCTAGTAAAATGACTGTTTTTGATCGATCAATTCAAGTTGTTTCACTACCAACCGATGACATGAATGTAACTACAAGTGCATTATCACTTTTAATTAATTAATGCTTGTTTATAATACAAAAGTGCAGTATTTTGTAATGCCAGGGTTTTCATCACAACAGTGTGGCTGCATACGTTGTAGGTCACAGATAATGTATGCAATTTCATATAGTCTACCATTTTAATGCTCAACTACCTACCAACCTACCTACCTACCGTATCAATGGTTTTTGTGACTGTAAAATAAGTACTTGGTGACTATTGGCTGCTAATAGCTATAATATGATAGTACTTGTGTGGTACTGAAGAATATAGGCTTTGTAGGACAGACACACTATCTGAGTGTACAGTAGATAGAGGGTGCCTTTTATCCTTTTTATAAATAATGTGAAATTGTTCTGCATGCCCTCTTACAGTACATGGACAGTCATTTATTGATTACGATTTTTTTCTTCTGTTTTGATCAGTATCAAAATAAATATTTTGGACAATCTGTTATGTTTTTTATTTGCATTTGATGTTCTTAAATGCATGATCTATGACACATTTACTGTTGGTTCTCTTAAAATTGCAATGGATATGAGACTACAATTTATGTAGTAATCAATTGGTAGAGCATGGCGCTTGTAACGCCAGGGTAGTGGGTTCGATCCCCGGGACCACCCATACGTAAAAATTTATGCGCACATGACTGTAAGTCGCTTTGGATAAAAGCGTCTGCTAAATGGCATATTATTATTATTATTATTATATTATTATTATTATTATTATTATATTTGAATTGCCTCAAGTTTGATCTAGATCACTAAAGACCCATAGAGAGAATGGTGGTCTAACAGCCCACTCGGTAAGCTATTCCTTTCCTATACAGTGCCTTCAGAAAGTATTCATACCCCTTGACCTTTTCAACATTTTGTTGTGTTACAACTTGAATTTAAAATTGATTAAATTAAGATTTTGTGTCACTCATCTACACATAATACCCCATAATGTCAAAGTGGAATGTTGTTTTTAGAACATTTTACAAATTAATAAGAAATGAAAAGCTGAAATGTCTTGAATCAAAAAGTATTCAACCTCTTTGTTATGGCAAGCCTAAATAAGTTCAGGAGTAAACATTTGCTTAACAAATCACATAAGTTGCATGGACTCACTCTATGCAATAATAGTGGTTAAAATGATTTTTGAATGACTACCTTATCTCTGCACCCCACACTGTATCACTACAGATATCCTTCCGAACTGAGTTGCCGGAGACAAAGAAAACCGCTCAGGGATTTCACCATGAGGCCAATGGTGATTTTAAAACAGTTACAGCGTTTAATGGCTGTAATAGGAGAAAACTGAGGATGGATCAACAACATTGTAGTTACTCCAAAATACTAACCTAAATGACAGAGTGAAAAGAAGGAAGCCTGTACAGAATTGTTTTTAAATCTCCAAAACATGCATATTCCAAAACAAGGCACTAAATAATACTGCAAAACACTTTGCTAAGGAATTCACTTTTTCTCCTGTTCTGTTTGGGGCAAATCCAACATAACACATCACTGAGTAACACTCTTCATATTTTCAAGCATGGTGGTGGCTGCATCATGGTATGGGTATGATTGTCGTATGCAAGGACTGGGGAGTTTTTCAGAATAAGAATTACTGGAATGTAGCTAAGCACAGGCAAAATCCTAGAGGAAAACCTGGTTCAGTGGGCTTTCCAACAGACACTGGGAGATGAAGTTACCTTTCAGCAGGACAATAAACTAAAACACAAGGCCAAATCTACACTGGAGTTGCTTACCAAAACGACATTAAATGTTCCTGAGTGGCCGAGTTACAGTTTTAACTTAAATCTGCTTGAAAATCTATGGCAACTTGGAAATGGCTGTCTAGCAATGATCAACAACCAACTTGACAGAGCTTGAAGATTTTTAAAAAGAATGGGTAAATATTGCACAATCCAGGTGTGCAAAGCTCTTACTGACTTACCCAGGAAGATTAACAGCTGTAATCGCTGCCAAAGGTGAGTTAGTCTAACATGTATTTACTCAAGGGGTTGAATACTTACAGTTGAAGTAGGAAGTTTACATACACATAGGTTGGAGTCATTAAAACTTGTTTTTCAACCACTCCACACATTTCTTGTCGGTTAGGACATCTACTTTGTGCATGACACAAGTAATTTTCCCAACAATTGTTTACAGACAGATTATTTCACTTATAATTCACTATATCACAATTCCAGTGGGTCAGAAGTTTACATACACTAAGTTGACTGTGCCTTTAAACAGCTTGGAAAATTCCAGAAAATGATGTCATGGCTTTAGAAGCTTCTGATAGGCTAATTGACATCATTTGAGTCAATTGGAGGTGTACCTGGGGATGTATTTCAAGGCCTACCTTCAAACTCTTTGCCTCTTTGCTTGACATCATGGGAAAATCAAAAGAAATAAGCCAAGACCTCAGAAAAAAATTTGTAGACCTCGACAAGTCTGGTTCATCCTTGGGAGAAATTTCCAAACACCTGAAGGTACCACGTTCATCTGTACAAACAATAGTACGCAAGTATAAACACCATGGGACCACGCAGCCGTCATACCGCTCAGGAAGGAGACGCGTTCTGTGTCCTAGAGATGAACGTACTTTGGTGTGAAAAGTGCAAATCAATCCCAGAACAACAGCAAAGGACCTTGTGAAGATGCTGGAGCAAACAGGTACAAAAGTATCTATATCCACAGTAAAACGAGTCCTATATCGACATAACCTGAAAGGCCGCTCAGCAAAGAAGAAGCCACTGCTCCAAAACCGCCATAAAAAAGCCAGACTACGGTTTGCAGCTGCACATGGGGACAAAGATCGTACTTTTTGGAGAAATGTCCTCTGGTCGGATGAAACAAAAATAGAACTGTTTGGCCATAATGACCATTGTTATGTTTGGAGGAAAAAGGGGATGGCTTGCAAGCCGAAGAACACCATCCCAACCGTGAAGCACGGGGGTGGCAGCATCATGCTGTGGGGGTGCTTTGCTGCAGGAGGGACTGGTGCACTTCACAAAATAGATGGCATCATGAGGAAGGAAAATTATGTGGATATATTGAAGCAACATCTCAAGACATCAGTCAGGAAGTTAAAGCTTGGTCGCAAATGGGTCTTCCAAATGGACAATGACCCCAAGCATACTTCCAAAGTTGTGGCAAAATGGCTTAAGGACAACAAAGTCAAGGTATTGGAGTGGCCATCACAAAGCCCTGACCTCAATCCTATAGAACATTTGTGGGCAGAACTGAAAAAGCGTGTGCGAGCAAGGAGGCCTACAAACCTGACTCAGTTACACCAGCTCTGTCAGGAGGAATGGGTCAAAATTCACCCAACTTATTGTGGGAAGCTTGTGGAAGGCTACCCGAAACGTTTGACCCAAGTTAAACAATTTGAAGGCAATGCTACCAAATACTAATTGAGTGTATGTAAACTTCTGACCCACTGGGAATGTGATGAAATAAATAAAAGCTGAAATAAATCATTCTCTCTACTATTATTCTGACATTTCACATTCTTAAAATAAAGTGGTGATCCTAACTGACCTAAGACAGGGAATTTTTACTAGGATTAAATGTCAGGAATTGTGAAAAACTGAGTTTAAATGTATTTGGCTAAGGTGTATGTAAACTTCCGACTTCAACTGTTTATATATATATATATATATATATATATATATATATATATATATATATACAGTGGGGA